ATCTCTTTCTAGGCTGTTGCAGACTTTGCTCCGACCTTTCAACTAGAAGCTTTCTGGGAATCAGAGTTACTTATTAATATAATGGATCATGAACTTGTTCCTCAACACATTGTGTTATCCAATCAAGAGAAAGAAGATCTATTTGCTAAATAGTACGTATGTCTGTCAGCCTTTTAAAGTAAATTGGAATGATTCAAGCATTCTGTTCAATTGTTTAAGAATTGAGAGTAGTCAAATAAAAGATTTCTATCTGTTTCAGTAACTTGACAGAAAATTTACTGATGCGCATTCAGTCTACTGATCCAGTTGTTAGGTACTATGGACTGAAGAGAGGACAAGTAAGCTTACTCTTACTCTTAATATTAACATTAATCATTCTACATTCACTGGTTTCTCATAATTTTTGTTCTTATCTTTCCAGGTTATTAAAATAATTCGTGACTCTGAAACTGCAGGACGCTATGTTCTATATAGACTAGTATCCTGAATTCATGTGTTAAGCTTTTTTCATTCATTTATTTTGTAACATTTTTGTTACAATGCCAACTGTGTTAATCAACTTCATTCAAAAAAATGTCCTGTGCTTCGACCCCAATCAACTGAAGATTAATGAAATGTTTACACACTTGAGTACGATGTTTTGTATGTATGAAATTAATAATTAATCAACATCAAATTAATTAAACTTGCGGACACATCCAAGCAATACCAATACCTGTCTAGATTTTGCAAACCTCTTTTCCCTTCTGTTACTGAAAACTTAAAGATCATCACATACATATAGCCCCACAGCTACTCAGAAACCTCTGAAAGCTGTCCCCACAATGAGCGTTTCACGCGGCGACGCTGATGGCGCCTGCAGCGCGCTGGGTAGGCCAACCCGCCAAGCTGCTGCGTGAAGACGGCGGCCCTCCCAGAGCGTCCTAGTGTACGGGAGAGACAACGTTTTGAAGTCCAACTCGTCCTTGCATCACCCAGACGGGCGTTCATGTGGGGGCAGATTAGAGTCCTACAGCTGGATTGTACTCTGTGGGAGTCGGGGGAAGGTCCACGCCGCAGCCGGACCCGCCTCTCATTTAGGAAGACGGGCAAATAGCTTCACTTGTCAACCCCCGCGCCAGTGCTCGACGCCAACGAGAACGGGTGACCCTCGTCCGCGTGCATAGATAGTTACTACAGAGTCCCACTGCAGCAGTTTACCAAGGAGAGACCCCAGCCCATGGCCGCGGGCTGGTAGGCGCAGCCTGAGTACCGGGACCCCAGTTACTCGACGGTAGCCGGTTGCCTGTCGGTGCGAGCCTGGTGAGCAGCACAAAGTGGGTACCTCATATACCTGTCGGGTACGCAAGGGGCTGGGCAGGTCGCCTGGGGCCAACTTTCTTAGGTGTCGACCACCTCGCACGGCCTGCTGGCGCTGCCGGTTCCCATCCGCCTGGCCTGGGCCGGCCTCGCCCTGGCCGCGCTAAGCCCACTTGTGGCCCACTTTGTGGCTTGTGGCCCAGTCAGAGCCAGCCGCGCCCCGCGCCGCCACCGGGCTTAGCTCTCAAAACTCGACCCCTATTACTGTCCAGGTCCAGGTATTGTTGTTCATAATCATTTCTGGGGCTGACGGCCTGACGGCGGCTGCGCCCCTGCGCCGCGCCGCCCCGGGCGCCAGGCGCGCCCGTTGGACAGGGCAGGGCGGATGTGATCCGGCCGGCTACACGAAGCGACTACAAGAAGGACTCAGACCGCGTACCTTTGTAGATCCCGTTAGGATGACGAGATTGATATCAGTGGCCTACGCACTCAGCGAATGGTGGAAATAGAATCGCATCAGCACTGATCCGGCGACGTACCGTACCGTGTGTCAGGGCTACGATGACACAGCAGAGTATGAGGATTGGCGTACTCGCCCGACTCGCCTCATCTACAGGGTGGTCCACAGACCCCTTCCTTTATTTTGCTTATACTGTACCGCATGCATGCGTGCGGGCGGGCTTGCCTACTGTCGCTCACCATGGGC